CTTCCCCGTCAAGCAGATCAGCGTAATACAGTCAAGCTACCAACAAATTCTTAAAATATTACGTCATAACATCCTCCGCTGTGTAAATGGGACGCAGAAATAATTTAATAATCTTCATATCTGTAAACCCTGAATAATATTAGCATAAAAGCGTCTTCTCCCTTTCCGACCTGGGTCAGCTCTCCAAGTTTAACTTAAAACTTAACAATTTACAGCAGAAAGTGTATAAAAGGTCTACATTTTCAGGTAATAACGCAGCCCTTCCTTTCTTTCGGTATTAGGATTTTTAAACCGAAATGGCCCAACGTCTTAAAAAAATTCTTCTACAGCGTGAAATCAACCGAACTGGAATTATACAGGAGCGAAATGCACCTTAATCGCGTTTGTTTTTCGATCAAAGACACGCTTTCACGACCTTAGAAAAAGATACAACAAGCATCCTCCAGCTTTTCTAGAGTACACATTTAAAAAAAAATGTAAACGTAGATTAAAAAAATGAATAAAAACAGGATGCCGTGAGTCTTCCGGATTTAATATAAAACATGTCATTTCCGCTAATTTTAGAGAGCATCCTAAACCGTGCGAATGAATCCATGCGGAACCGCATTCTCGTTTAGATTTCGTAAAACAGCGAATGAATATATGTATCATAAATGTTCGTCAAAAAATTTAAAAAAAAAAAATATGCATGTACCTGGGTGAGACATAATTCAAATCGAGTGGTGCGACTTGCCGGATACTGACCGAGATTTTCCGAAATACCACATAGTACAGATCCCAGGCCTGGCTAATTTCTTTGATGTTCTTTGTGCGCATATAGCACAGACACGAATTCCACGCTTCTTTCAGTTCATTTTCGTACAACTAAACAAATTTTTACACACAGTTTATTCGCAGCACAAGGGAAACATATCAACTAAAATACAGGAATATTTACCATCAATATCTGGTTGGCACGGCGAAAAATGTCTTAACAGCGGGTGATTGCGGTAGCATTTGTCAAAAATACCTCGGTGCATTTTCCAGTAAACAGTTCGCAAAATGCAAAAAAAAGAGGCAAAGATTACTTGTTTGAAAGATTGCTCCTTCAGAGTGGTTGCACCACGTTCCAACATTTCATGCATCGGTCTCAACAGCTCGATCATTGCTTTTACATCTTTATCCTGAAAACAAATCTAAAATAAAATACCCGTGGTATTAAATGGCCAACAAAAAAAAACTGCTGAGATAAACTGCCAGGATAAATGGACGGCAATGTATGTCATGTAATGAAAAAAAAAAAAAAGGAAAAACTAGTTTTTCGCACTAGCAATCCACAAACTTGTTTTTCTATTAGCAACAGGCGTGTTTTCATACAGATCCATTCTGAATCAAAGAGAAAAATTTGTCGAATCAACTAAAACCAAAAAAAAATCTAGCGTTACATACAAAGGATCCAGACGTGATGCAAAATTCTTGTTTTTCCAACGAATCGAACAATCCTCGCTAAAATAAAAAAAAGTCGCTGCTCACCAGCAAGGTGACCACCATGTGATGCAATACTTTTGATCAAAGCAATATGGAACAATTATCGGCTGGCACTGATAGTGCGAAAGTGCAGTACAACGAAATGAAAGCTGACCAAGTGCAATTAAAGGCTAAACCCAG